ACTACCAAAAGACAGATGTGCATTAGACTCCGACCATCTTATAGAAAGACCGTCCAACAGAGACAGATCAACCAAGCACGCTGTCAAAGAAAGACGAGCCCTCCAACAGACAGACAGACAATTCAACAGACACAGACAGACAGACAGACCGTCCAACAGACAAGGAGACTGACAGAACATCCAACACAGAGACTGAGAGAAAAACTATTCAATAGACAGACGATCCATCCAACTAACAGACAGACCATCAGACTGACAGACCATCCATGTTACAGACAGACCATCAGAGAAGCAGAAGATCCTTCTGACATACCGACAGACAGACGGACAGACAGACGGACGGACAGACCGAGAGACGGACAGACAGACAGACTATCCAAAAGACACATAGATAACACAACGTACAGACAGACCATGCCAACAAACAGACAGACCATCAGAAAAACAGAAGGTCCAACCAACAGACAGACAGACTATGCAACAGACGCTAAGGCCATCCTACAGACAGACAGACCATCAGAAAAACAGAAAATCCAACTGACAGACAGATCATCCAAAATATAGACAGCCAGACAGACAGACAGACAGACAATCCATCAGACAGACAGACCATCTAACGAAAAACAGACAGTCGGATCATCCAAAAGAATAACAGACCATGAGACAGACAGATCATCCTACCTACAGACAGACCATCCAACAAATAGACAGAACTTTGAAAGTTAAAATAGATCATCCGACAAACAGACTGACGGACGGACGGTCGGACGGACGGACGGACGGACGGACGGACATGATATATATATATATATATATATATATATATATATATATAGATAGATAGATAGATAGATAGATAGATAGATAGATAGATAGATAGATAGATAGATAGATAGATAGATAGATAATATAATATAATATACAGTTGAAGTCAGAATTGTTAGCTCCCATTTTAATTTTTTTTTCTTTTAAAAATATTTCCCAAATGATGAGCAAGGAAATTTTTACAGTATGTCTGATAATATTTTTTCTTCTGGAGAAAGTCTTATTTGTTTTATTTCGGCTAGAATAAAAGTAGATATTAATGTTTTAAACACCATTTTAATGACAAAATTATTAGACCCTTTAAGCTTTATTTTTTTAACAACTCTCTACAGAATAGACCATCGTTTTACAACAACTTGCCTAATTACCCTAACCTGCCTAGTTAACCTAATTAACCTAGTTAAGCCTTTAAATGCCACTTTAAGCTGTATAGAAGTGTCTTGAAAATATCTAGTCACATTATGTACCGTCATCATGGAAAAGATCAAATAAATCAGTTAATAGAAATGAGTTATTAAAACTATTATGTTTAGAAATGTGTTGAAAAAAAATCTCTGTTAAACAGAAATTGGGGAAAAAAAATAAACGGGGAGTCTAATAATTTAAGGAGGTTTAATAATTCTGACTTCATATATATATATATATATATATATATATATATATATATATATATATATATATATATATACATATACATACACACCCGTCTGGTCAATAAACATATCACTATTATATTCCCTAACCCGAACATACTGTATAAGGCAGAGGTGTCCAAAGTCAGTCCTGGAGGGCCGGTGTCCTGCTGAGTTTAGCTCCAACTTGCCTTAACACACCTTGCCAGGAAGTTTCTAGTATACCTAGTAAGAGCTTGATTGATTGGGTCAGGTGTGTCTAATTAGGGTTGGAGCTAAACTCTCATGGACATGGACAGGTTTGGGAACCCCTTATATAAGGGGATCCGAGATCAGGTGGGTCTCAAGAGCTTCCCCTTAGAAAAGGGAGGAGGTGGGGTGTAAGGGGGGATTCTTTCAAAATGAATATAGGGCAGTTGGGAGAAAACGATCCATTTATAATAAGCTTGGATCACTCGTATTGGACTATTACTGATTACAGATGAGAAGCCAGTCATGCTCACGATCAGATCATGTGCTCCTCTCGAAATTAGTTTGTGAAACTTCACTTAAAATCTAGTCAAGTCTTAAATACTTTTACAAATGATTTAGCTGATTCTTTTGTCCAAAATGGGATAAAACAAGCCATTTATCATAAAGTGGAAAACAATAATCAGTGAGAAACACATTCATAGTCTGAGGTCGTGAGTGGGAGGATTCAACACTTCAACTTCTCTTTCTTGAACACTTACGGTTACACATTCAAAAGTGGATGAGCTGATTCTGCCAGTTTGGCTTTGCTGATTGCCAAATACTCCTGTGTAGCTGGTCAAACAAGTGACTTTAAGATGCCATTAAAGGGTGTTTGATGCATTGGCAGTCCTTCTGAAGTGATTTGATACTGTAGGTGTGTTACTGCCATGCGGTCATGTTCAGATTCCAAAGAGTTCACGTTTGTAGCACTAGTAATTAAACCTGGTGTAAGGAATTGTCTTGGGGGCTATGACTTGTGCCGTGAGGCCACTTTGTCAGTTCCTATTGTACTATATTGGCAAATGTTTTGGGATATCTGCCTTCAATTCAAGTTTATTTTTTACAGTATTATGAACATATTGACATAACAATTTTATATAACAGCTTCAACTCTTTTGGGAATACTTTCTGGGAATTTTTGGCTATTTTTCGTGAGGCAAATTTGTGAGGTTGTTTTTTCAGTTTTTTTTTTCAAATTTGTGAGGCAAATTTGTGAGCTAAAGGGGTTCATTCGAGTTGAGATCAGGACTTTGTGTAGGCCAGTCAATATGTAGTGGAGCTGCTGTTGTTGTTATAATAACTCTTATAGTTGGCTAGTGTTGAGTAAATTTCATGAATGGACTTTTCACAGGTGGCAATCGATCATGTTATCATGCTTGAATTCAACTTCTATGAGGCAGTCGAAATCATTACTTAAACATATGCCTCGTACATGCATTCATTCCACAACGATTGGTCACCACTATGGTCATACACATATATATATATATACATATATATATATACACATATATACATATATATATATACATATATATATATATATATATATATATATATATACATATATATATATATATATATTAGGGATGT